AACAAGAAATTCGAACTTCAGAAAATTTTCCAGCTCCCTTGGATGTTCTGGGCTGTCATGGCATTCTCCTTGTTCCAGACAACCACTGCCTTGGTCTTTAGCCAGAATGCCACCGAGCTGGCGGAGAAGCGCTTCAACGTGGATTCCATTACAGCAGGATGGTATAGTTCTCTGTCACTATATGCAGGTGCGGATGGTCAGCTTCTCTCGTTCAGTTTGTTCCTTCATTGACTCTAACAGGTTTCTTTCTGGTCCCATGTCTGGGTGTCTTTATCGATGTCCTAGGGAATCGCGCGAGTGTTTGTAGGTTTTCCCTAGCCAACCATGGGTCTAACCTCTCTGACATCTACCAGTATGCGTCTGTGGAATCGGAATGTTCCTCAGTATGGTTCTGGTCAACTTCGCCGAGACCACGTCTGGAACGGCCGCTTCGTTTGGAATATATGCCATTGCCGTGTCGTTTGGCCCAACGTCCATCATTGATAGCATTCGCACAACACTATGGCATCAGTCCGTCTTTGGCTCTGCTTATGCCCTCAAAATTACGATGAACAACGCGTACGTGCATCCGAGTTCGCATACAGATCGAAAAAGAGAGACTAACCTGGCCCTAGGATGAACATCATCATCCGAATCATTACCGGAGCACTGCAAGACGCTGACAACGACTCGTATCGCCGCGTAGTCCGCGTCTACCTTTTCCTCGCTGCAGCTTCTGTTGTTGTCGGCTTGGCGATATTAGTCGGGGCTCTGATGACTGACAGCCTGGCGCCGCTCCAATGGACAAGGAAACAACGGCTGACCTTAGGCCCAGAGCACATCAGCATGATCCGTGAGCGACACACAGTGACATGCTATGCTCGCAACAAAACTATCTCTATCTACTGCTTCACGGCGCTTCTGTTACTGACAGTTGGGGGCTGGGCGGCTTACATTTGGGGAGCGGTCACGGGTAACAACTCATAGGACGATACCGTCAAACCTTTATGTATATATTTCTTTTTCCAAAGTCAACGAGATAATAAGACGATAGAATAAAATCAATTTGGCTAGATGCCAAAATTATCCAGATAGACCCCAGTTCGGTAGAATATAGTTCATAACATATGCGTCGATCCGCTGCGTTCCTCTTCCTCGCCCCTCTCCCTTAGTCAATTGATCGAGGATCATTAAGTTGCCAGACTGTAATATTCATCATCCAACGTAGTACTCTTCTGCGAGATACGGTCAGATCATGCTTACGCGAAGAGCACTACAGTTGTTCCTGCGGTAGAGATGATAGGATGCACCGAGGATTGCCTAATTATAACTAAAGGGTATAAGTACATCAAATTGCGCCACGTCCAGCAGGATTTGATGGATTTTCGCTCGGCGAGCAATGGGAGTCGATTCCACGACTCAATATCAAGAGAACTTAAGTACTCCCTGTATCAGTGTCCTCCATGACCTGTGTCGTCTTCCCGTCCCTGGAGAGCCTTATCTCCGTAGTCGGTAGCTACGATAGCGATCTTAGATGGCACTCTATTTCTTCCCATGCAAAGATCCAAAAAGGCCCAATCTCGAAGGTCGTTGGACCGGCGGAGGGCTAATCTCCGAAGCCTCGAGCTCTACAGGAGGTTTTACTAGAACCTGGCGTTTCTCAGGAGCCTTGTCCACCGGGGGTTCAAATTCGGGAAGTTCTGGTTGGCTCGGATGAACAGTGATATTGACAATGTTCGACTTTTGAGGGTGTTGGATCTCCCCCTAGGCAACAAAAATGAGATTAGTACAGATCAAGCGGCGAGGCTTCTCACGGAGCACATACTGTGGTTATAATTGGGATTTTCTTCACATAGCCAATTCCTTTCGATGAATCGGACCAGGACAGCAGAATCAAGTCTTCGTCCGTCTGGTGCACATATGCCAATGCAAAGGATTCACTCTTGGTGGTAAACTCCTTGGACGTAGCAACCCTTCGGACCTCAATCGGGATAGAGCCCAAGTTGGACACCCTGTATACATGGCCTTGGTCGTTTACGAGGACGAGCTCACTCCCCGATGGTGAAAAGGCAGCTGCTTGGATACGATTGCCCAGTTTGCCCTTGTGGTTGGACGAGGCGGAGCTCTGCACTCGAATCTCCGTGCGGTGGCCCCCGTTGGGATGGACGAGAATGGGAACACCGGATTGCGTCCATGTGGTGATGCAGATGATGTCCTCTTTACCGCCCATTCCCGGTTGAAAGAGCACAGATGATACACCGTTATCTTCTGACTCATGCAGAGGGACGCGGTACCGGCAGGGTAAAACCTCCTGGAAGTCGGAGAATGGGAAATGGGACAAGTATACTTGGATCATCCCGTTCCGTTCGCTTCGGGTGCTGCACACCAGGACGAGCCCATCATGGGAGAAGGAGACGGTGGCAATTGGAGGGCAGTCCTTGCAGTCCTGGTGATAGCGAGCATGCACACGATGGAGCCGCGGTTGCTGCCATTCGGAAGGGTTGAATAGACCGACTGTCGATCTGTCGAATCCGACCGCTACGAAGCTTCCGCTGGGGGAGACGGTCATGCTCGTGCACCAGGGCGTGGGCCCAACGCGATACTCCACTCGGGGTGCGGACAGCCCGTCCACACTTTGAATCCACAGCTGCCGCATACAGATGAATCAAATTGCGATCGTCGCAACGGGGTGCAKGGAAACTCACCGTCTGCTTCCGGTCTCTGTCTCCTGTCATATAGGCCACATGTGTTCCTGTCACAGCTGCGAGAATGCAGAATCCATCCGTAGAGATGGTATCCTTGAAGGTAGGGGGACAAGTACTGACATCCCAGATCTGGATCGAGGACTGCGACCAGAACAGCGAGTGCGTCGAGTCTTGTGATAGACTTACTTTAATAAGCTGGGCAAATTTTCCACCTGCTGAATGTTTTCCTCGGCGACAGAGGCTTTTCAAGTCAATTTCTTCCAGCTTCTGAGTCTCTAGAGTTGCTGAAGACAGGGAGCTGGAGTCTGCATGGTCCCTTGTTTCCTTTTTCGCAGTGGTGAATCTCGACTTCCACTTGGACCGTGACTTATCTGGCGCAGCGGGCGGCGAGAGGGCTCGAATACCCCCACTCGATGAAGAGCTGGTGTGAGTGAATGTGGTTGTTTTGCTGAGGGGTTCAAATCCTCCCACGGAGTCTGCAGAGAATGGAGGGTCCCCCGCCGCCGGCCTGGCAGTTCTCGGGGGAGGAGTTTCACTCATCCTGCGGTTACCCAGTGGGGGTGGACTATCGACCCAAGGTTCCGCACGCGGCGCGTTTGCTCGTCCCTGAGGAAACCCAGACAAGCCAAAGGGAGGCGGGGATGACGGTCCTGATGCCGTTCCGGAGTCGCGGCGCGGCTGGTCAAGCCGCGATGGCGCCAACAGGAACTGCGTGGGGAGATGCCTTTCCGCATTGATGGCCTCTACGTTTGGGCTGAGCGGCTTGAGATGCTCCCAAGTATACCTCGCTAGCGATACTTCACGTACCATGGTGACTGCCGAGCCACAAAACGCACACTTGGACTCCGGGCGCAGGGCAACTCCTGACGCGCCGCCGGCATCATCCTATTTAGAATCGGTTCAGCCTAGGTCAAGCCTTACAAGAACAAAGGCTACATACAGGAAGGGTCAGGTTTGCCATGTCTCGGACCTGTGAAGAGCCTAGTAAATGGCACTCTTGGCAATTAATGACGTACAACGCCGGGCTGGCCGACCTCAGCTGGTCGCTAGGGTCGTCCAGGAGCTCAATATACTTGGTTATCTGGGACACACTGTGCATCATGGCCCCATCACTGACGCGGTGAATCATCAGTCGATGACCCAGTCGCTCTCGCAACGCCTCCAGCGCATCAACCACGTTTCCACCGTGTCGGTGCTGCACGAGGCTAGGGGTATCAGGGAGGACGATTCGAAAATCCTCACTAATCATCGGGATGAGATGGCCCGCAGAGACGTAGGGAGGTAAGCGGATGCGGTTGAGAGCATGCAGCACGGCATCGCGACTGCTCTTTGATGCTCGTTCCAGTTCCGAATCACAAAATTTCCTGGTATTGACTGCAAACTGGATATTCGCGCCGACAACGAATTGCGACACGTCGTATAGACCCAATAGTTGTGACAACCAGCTCTGCGACGAACCGTGCTGAGGGACGATGGTCGCAATGGAGGACGACGAGAGGCAATTGGGTAGAGGGTACTAGTTGTTCACCAGCAATTATATCAGCATGTCTGTTACAAAGCCGATGTGCCTTTAGCGCCCAAGGCAGATCATGACTTACTAGATCTCCCGTCAAGGATGGCAATTCCTGCTTCAACCGCGGGGGAAGCGACAGAGCATCCGGTTCGGCGCGAAGAGCGTCTGCGATTCCTCGACAGACGGCTAGAAAAGGTGAATTCGTCTCCGGATAATTGTCGCACACTCTTTCAAGAGCCCGGTGGACTCGCGCAAATCGGTCTCGACGATCTCTGAGCCGAGAGTTGGGCGGGGGCTTCGGGTGCAGCAAAAGAATCTGGACGGTCGATAGCACCAGCCGCGAGACATATTCGTCGCGCAATGGGGCGTCCCAGAGGACTTCGCGCGCATCCAAGACGATCTGGAGGATGAATTCTACCGTCCTCACCGTCACCTCCCAGCTCACCAGAAAGCCGAGTGACCAATCCACGGGGGTGCTGCCGACCGGAGGAAGCGTGAGGCGCTGGATGAAGAATATCACTCTGAGATGAACTAATAAGGTTAAAATCGAGTCCGCATACGCCTCTTTGTCTGCGTCAGCGTAGATCTTCTCCAGGCTGAAGCGGCCTAGCAGCTCGAGGATGATATCGTCGATGTCGCTGCGGAGAGCCAACAGACTCCAGATTCCGGTTAGACTCGAAAATACCGGCGATGGCGAAGCCGTCGCCATTTCCTTTTGAAGAGCAATAAACACGAGGGAGTACTTTTGCGGCCTTGGAGAAGATCACAATTAAGCCTCAGTGTGGATTCTTGTGGGGAACTATTCAACTTATGGCACGGATCGCTTGGGCCAGGCCAGACACTCCATTTTCCTTCATCCTCGATGGTCGACGCCTCGTGAACCCCGCAGGAGGCTTAAACGCAGTCTGGGCAGTGAACTGGAACGTGATACCGACATGGTTGGTGGGACAGGCAGGAGCCCGTCCAGGATCCTTATCATCCATACAGACGCGGTGGTTGGCCATCCCCGGCCTCGCTAACATGCCAATCCTGCGTTAGAAGATCCCGCGTCTAACATGATTGGACATCTCATGCAGTGTTAATCTAGCTTCCCCACGATTATTGGTGTTTATCACTAGCTGAGTTGTCGAGCTCGTATTCCTGCTGATTGGGGTGGTATCGCAGTCTATCTTTATCCTGAGAAGGCTGAGCAGATCGGATGCGCATTGAGACAGCCCAAGCAGCGCTCAAGTATTTCCTTCCTGCCTCGTCCCGCCCTTTTCTTCTGCTGCAGATACGGGCACAGAAGCATACATCAGTTCTCCAACCCGATCGCTCTTTTGTTCTCGAAAATGGCGGCCGATTGGCAGCACACCGAGCACGACATGAAGGACGAGGGCTCTACCATACAGAGTCCTGGGTTTGATCTTGATTACACTGACACCGCGGGTGACGGATCACAAGAGGAAGATGTTCGCGACCAGAAAGGTCACAATCTTTGGTAAGACTCCATTCCACAGCCAGCCTGAGAAAGACCTCGACTTATGGTGGTGTGTAGGCGGGTGTTGAATGAGAGGCAGATCAATGTACGTCAACTGCGACATCAAATGCACAGTCGCTGAACACAGGCTAACCTTGCATGTTTCTGTGGGATAGATGATTGCATTCACTGGGTATGTTGCCTGTACTCGACAATTTGCTAGGATGTCCATTGTTGACAAATTTCTCTTACTCCTGTAGAACCATCGGCAATGGTATTTCTCGCGCGCTCCCTACACCTTGAGTCAGCCGGATAACCATATCCCTCTAGGACTCTTCCTGACCAGCGGAAAATGTCTTGCTGCTGCTGGCCCCGGAGGCGCAGTAGTTGCCTACGTAATTATGGGCACTGTGATTTCGTCGGTGATCTCCTCCCTAGGCGAGATGACGGCTCTGATGCCGGTGAATGCCCCGATGATGGAGTTTCCGCGGCGGTTTCTGGATCGGGGTGTCGGTCTTGCTGTCGGCTGGATATACTGGTAACGTCCCTCATAGATTGTGCACGGGCTCCTTTCTAACTGTCCCAAGGTTCTCCTATGTCGTGATGGGAGCAGATCAAATCGTCACCGTAGCAGCCTCAATTCGGTTTCAGTACGACGATGGACGCACATTCATCAGCTGGGCCACCGGTATGGACACCAGTCCGGCACTCTGGATTTCCGTCTTTCTGGTGGTCGTTGTCATTACAAATATGATTCCTGTTAGGGTGGGTTGTAATGCTATACGCTGTGGTTCTGTCCTAACGCCGTTGGTTAGTACTTTGGCGAGCTCGAATACATTGTCGGATGCATCAAGATTACGTTCATCACGATGATGACCCTCATGATGCTCATTTTGAACGTCATGAACCGTGAGTGCTGCCTATGAGCTATGATTGCTGCCTCGTTGCTAACAGACGCATAATACAGCCCGATCGAACGCATACTACAGTCAACCACTTGGGACAAAGTGTAAGAACACCCCTCAAGCGGAGGGAAAAAGAGGCTAATAGGCTTGATTCTAGACTGGAATACCCCGTACTCCTTCTTCAACTCGGACTACCATGTGAAGGATGAGTATGGAAACCTCGACAAAACCATCAGTGGCGGGACCGGACGATTTGTTGGCGTCTGGTAAGCACTATAGTCGATAATCAGTATCTACACCCGGAAGAACGATCGACTCACTATGTCTTCACATAGGACGGCGTGCGTAAAGGCCTTCTTCTCATATACAGGCATGGACATGGTCACCGTCACTGCGGCCGAGAGCAAAGCCCTTGCCGACTCGGAGGCCATGAAGATGGCGTCGCGGAAGATCTCGCTGCGCGTAATTACCCTGTACGCGCTGTCAATCCTGACAGCGTCGTTCCTTGTGCCCACCGACCACCCATTCATCAACGGCGCTGGGCAGTCTACTGGCTCCCACTCGATCTTCATTATTGCGGTCGTTGAGGCCGGACTGCCCGCTCTCGGCCAGTTTTTCAACGCAATGTTCCTCTTCTCTGCAGCCACCTGTGCATCGGACAACCTGTATGTGGCCTCCAGAGTGCTCCACACGCTCGCACTTCGAGACCAAACAGGACCGGAGTTCATCACGCGGAGGCTCCGGCAATGCCGTGCAGGGGTCCCGATGCGAGCCGTCCTTGTGTCGGCTGCGGTAATGCTGGTGGCATACCTGGGGCCTACTGGAGCGCCTGGTGCGGTGAGTGGCTCACGTCAATTAGAGCAGATTTGGATTGCAGCTAACATACTGAATCAGAGATTGAGCGAGCTGTCGTCCAATTGCACGGTCTCGTTTTTGATTGTTTATGCCACTATCTGTGCGACCTATCTATGCTTCTACCAGACGTATTTATCTACCCAGTTCTCAGCGAACATGGCCGCAGCACTAACGTCTTTATTCCAGACTGAACGAAGCCCAGAAGTACGGCAACAATCCCCAGACCCAGGCCGGGATTTATGATCGAAACCACCCTCGATACCCGTACAAATCCCATGCGCAGTGGCTCAAGGCGGGCTTCGGCATGGTGGCATGTATCATTTTGCTAATATTCAATGGGATCAATGCATTCCTGACAGACCCATTTGATATCCGGACCTTCATTGCCTCCTACATCAGTGTACGTCTTTGCTTAGACTCTGGCAAATATTTCGCGGCTATCAACAGTGCACACTGCTAATTGAATTTTTGACAGATCCCGGTTTTTATCCTGCTTATTGTCTTTTACAAGATCCGGAGACATGGATTCAATTTCTCCCAATGGGGACCAGAGAGATCCAAGGATCTTCGGAATTGTGTCCAAGTCTCGAGTGACAGGAGAAAGGGCAGGCTGGAGTTCCCTCAGCCTGGCTTAACCGTGGAGAACGGCAAGAGATTCCTGGAGTGGATATGGGTATGGACCAAGTAGATCAGTTCATGCTGGACGCTCTTCGCTGGATGTGTGCAAATTTTTTTTTTTTTTGATTAACTTGAAATTGCGCATCCAAGATTCCTATCTTTTGGTCTTTCATTTTCGTAGCCCCCGGTGGTGGTTGAGAAGGATACCTGTGATAGTTGCAGGTGTATCCCTTTTGCACGCAGATCCATCCACTGCGTTATTGACACTGAATGAGTAGTAAATAATATATGCAGCTGTCCTGTAATCCAGCGCCATCCTCTATAAGTACGGTGACGAAAAAAAATTGTACACGAATACATCTATGGGTAAGAGCCCATAATCCACATGAAATGAAACTCTAGAAATGCCCATAGTCCTAGTGCTGTCATGCCATATCGTTTGAACCCTTCGGACTTGGCCGAATTAGAAGCCATAGCGACAGCAGTGGTCGTTGTTTCATTTCCTGTACGGCTTCCAAACGCGCTTTCTCCCCCTTCTGCAGCTGTGGGCGTAGCCGTTTGACTGGTGTTGTGAGTGCTGGCAGACGACCCACTGATGGATGTGGCAACTTTCTTAGCTGTTGGTGATCCCGTTGGGTAACGATACCAATTCGAAGGAGGATCATTCAGACATTCTCCGTAGAGTGCCGTCGTATAACCTTGCTTATTCAGATAATCAATCATGAAAGGCACGAAATCGTGGACGGTATGGCTGTGAATGTCATGCGCTAAGGAGACGAAGCTATTCGTCTTTGGGTTTCCGGACTGTAGTGCGGATTTGAAGATATTCTGGCTGTTGGGGTAGTTCTCCTGCCAGTCCAGCGTGTCGATATTATAATTGGTTACGTGATACCCAAGGTCACGTAGGTCTGTCAGGCAATCTGAGTTACAAGACATGTATGGCGGTCGCAGGTACGTCGGGAAGAACCCCAGGATATCACTGAGGGCTATCTCATTCTTGATGATTTGATCGTATCGTTGATGTTGGGTAAGAGTCGATAGGTCTTGATGGCTCCATGTATGGCTGCCAATCTGATGACCCTCGTCGTGCATTCGTCGGATGAGCGAGGGATAACCGGTCTTGGGATCATTGATGTGGCCCTTGCCGCCGTTGTTGCCGACAAGGAAGAAGGTCGCCTTGACGCCTCGAGCCTTTAGTAAGTCTAGTAAATCCGAAGTGTAGATGTACGGCCCGTCGTCAAATGTGAGAGCAACCTTGCCGGGTACATTGCAGGCTCGAATGCTCACTCCGTATGGAACGTCGCCGATCTTTGGCCGCGGGACCGAGGAGGTATTCAAGCCTGAGGGCGTCTGGTTGGTATCACAAGCCGGTCCGTACTGAAAGAGACAGGATGGCGCATCGCAGTAGTAGGCTCCTGTACCACAAACTCCCTTGTCATTCAATCATGGTAAGTACTATTATCCTTTTCAAAGGAAAGGTATCCAGTCCGTCGAAGACATACATTTGGCCCACAGCAAAGACCCGAGGCACAGACTGCATTGCCAGCAGAGGGACCGCAGGTCCCAGAGGTCGTTCTACTTTCTAGAGCTGAGACGCTATCTTCAAGCGCCTGGCTGCTATTCACAGCTGAGAGGACGGTTAACAAAACCACCGTCGCCAGCTGTAAGGACATTGATAAAGACACAGCCCAACGGGCTGAGATAAAATTTCAACAGGTCTACAATTATATAGACTGACTTTTGAACATTGGACATTGAACATTGAGGATGAGTAGTAACTATTTATTACTAAAGCTTAGATGGGGTCTAGATTTATGGTTGCCTACAACAGCCAACCTGATGGAAAAGGCACCAGTGTTTCCCAAGGGTCCGAATATGCTTCGCGTGGTTTCGTCGCTAACTCTGAGTGGCCGCCCGTCAAGCTTCAGCCCATATATGGTTCCGTCAGCTCCACCATTTGACAGTTGATGGAATTCTGGTGGTATTCTAATCTCTCGGATCTAGAAACTTGGGCAGGGATGACATGCCAGGCAGCCCTGATTTGACGCATGGACTTGCTGTGGTTGGTCCGCCTAAATGCCGCGCATAAGATCACCCATTTCCCGCAAGTTCTCTTGCTGTTTGACCAGTACTTCGCTATTTCTTTCGAACTGGTCAGTATCAGTGTCTACTTTTCGGCTGCCAGGCTGCTTTCTGTTGTTAGTCAGGATAAGTCAGATGTTCTTCACATGTCCTCGAGGTCTCGTCAGGGCCTCGTGTTTAAGTACTTCATGGCCCCGCCCGCCCACTCACGTTACAAATCACATGTCTGATTTAATGCAAATATCGTCCATTCATGCTACATCATCGCTATCACTTCCGCTTGCAAACACAAAAGAAAAAAAGCAAATTTTCCGACTCGTGGGATGCGCATCTTCCCAAGTGTGCTAGAGTCATCAACCAAAGTGCAACGACTCCTGCTCATTTCTTAGGGGCTTCTACAAAGCCAGGGAAACAGTCCTGGAGCGTCTTGTTGTGCTTATTCGAGGCATGCTCAGTCAGTGCCGGAGCGCGAGTGGTCTTGAGGAAAGTCTGCCTGCAAGTGGCGCAGATGATATCCTTGGCAGCTTCGTTCTGTTTTCGTGAGCGTTGTGATATTGGAATGAAAACCATTAGAGATATTCAGTAGATACATACCACTTTCAGCTGCGACGTTGCGGTACCTTTGGCGTCTTTGGCTTTGCGCTCACGCTTAGATGCGGCTTTGGCTCCCTGTTAACCTGTGGTAAGCCAGAGAAAAGAATAAATATATAGGGAGAGCCCTTACGTTACCCATGGCGGCTGGTAAGAAATGTGACTGTAGAGCGTGGTCCTCTATTTTTTTTTTTTTTTTGTTTTTAGAAGGAGATTTAAGAAGGTCGAAGTTTTTTTCTTTCTTTTGCCCCTCCTTTTTTGATCTTTTTTTGTCTTTCCGAGTCTAGACCAGGAACTGTCACAGAAAGACAGGCGCTGATTGGCTGGGAGACTATGCACTCCGCGGAGAAGCGGAGATGCCTCAAAATTACCCTTTTCGGCGAATCCCGAGTCTCACTGTCAAATCCACAGCCACACTCGTTATATTAACTTGTACAAGCCATAGAAACCAGCAGATCATTTATCATCAGCGCCACAACTGCGGCACAACAATCTGCTTCAATTTGCATAATACATTATTTGTCGTCAACAACCTCAACTGCGTACATTATCCTTGCAATGTATATTCATCACCCGACGGTCATAGTTCGTCTCAAACAGTCATGAATAGTTCTAACGGTAGTCCTGCTGCCACCCTCACTCCGCTAACCCTCGGGTCCGTCGCTGCAGGTACGAAAGTCCGATTGGCCACCGGGCGATGGCCCTGATCGGCGGAAACGGCAATTGAGCTGACCGAGCTCTCGGATGAGACAGCTTTCTCTTCGATTAGGGTTGATACTCTTCTGCCATTGTGTTGGCGGAGAATTCAAAGCTGAATTCCATTTGGGTTTCGGGGCTCTCTGTTCCTCGATTGTCCCACCACGGACGATCTCGAGGACTGGTTGATTGACTATTGCTGACTGACACGTTGTTCCCTCTTCCTATGGCGTGCTGCTCGTCCTTGTGTACGTACAGCGGTTCTACAGAGCGAGCAATAGTGTTCTAGTAATGACCGGCGTTTGAGGCTTGAGTATGGAACAACTAGATGGGAGAAGCAGCAGTCCTCGGCAAGGTCCATTGAACATTCGCGTAATTTTGTATCACGTATCAAATCAATCAGTGCGAGTAGAGAATATCGGTTTTCAATCTCCGGCACCCCAGAATTCAACCCACATCCGACTTGAAATTCTTAGTCCTCGCTGCTCCAATTTTGGTAGCGTCTCAAGAACGGGATCTTGACGACTCTCTGCCCCGTCTTCTCAAAGAGCAGGCGTAAGGAGTTTCTATCTTCCTCATCGCACTGGGGTGCGTCCCTTTCCCACTCGTGAGGACCATAGCCTGGTTCAAGATACGGACTGGGTCCGTATCCATCATAGCAGACCATGTACCTATTTTCCTGCAAGCAGATCTTGACTTCTTCCTCCTTTTCGAACGGGACGCCATGACCCCAGTCGCTGCTTCCGATAAGGAACCGCCTCAAATGAGGTAGCTTTGTTCGGAAGGAGTCAAAGTAATCATGCCACCGCTTATCGTAGGAGAGGTAGTAGTTTTGCCGCACCCCTTCAAGCTCTCGACGGGTTTCCATTGCGCTCTTCTTGAAGGGACCCCTGTCGGCCACATGCTCTTCGGCGAGGCACACATCGTATAAAATCGCGCAATCGTCGAAGGATAGTTCGTTCAGAGTGGCTGCATGCGAAAGGATCCATTCCAGCTGAGAGTCCCGCACAAAGCAATAATTACCAAAGGCGAGGGATTTGAGGTGCGGAAAATGCACCTCGCTTAGTTCCAGCTTCGGATAGAAGCCGAAGTAGTTGTCGCAGGAGAGCGTCAGATGCTCCAAAGATGACGCGGATGGCTTCAACCACACGGATGGAAGCTGCGCAAAGAAGTCATGTGGCTCGGGGAAGTCAAGGTCATCCTCCGGGGCGGCTTCGTTGTGCTCCGTCACGATGCTTAATCGGAGAGTGCGTAAATTCTGCAGCACTTTCTCGATATTGGCGGATATTTGATCATCACCGACATTGACATCTTGCATGTTACGAATGCCGAGTTCACGCAGAGGTACTTCGAACGAGGCCAGCCATTTAAAGAAGACACGAAGAGTTTTTGTGCGAAAGGCGATGGTCTCTGGATGCTCTGGCATCCAATCCTCGCGGCCGGTACTACAATGCTTGTCAAACCGCAAGACGGCGCTTTGCACATTTGGACAGTCTTTGAATTTCGCGATTCTGTCCTTGAAATCCTTTGTCAATTCGACTTCCTCCTCCTCGTCATCATCGTCCTGAGGCATGTTAGCATGCTGCACTCATCGATCTGCGAGCGATATGGACTGACATAGTCATCTTCGCACGTATTGACATAGACCTTCTTGACCATTTTCTTCAGTCTTGCATGGTTCGTAATGTGATCGACCGCCTCATAACTCTCTTCGTCCGGAAACAGACGCAGAGTGTCGAATAGCCGTGGAGTAGCAAACTGTGACAGAAGGCGACTCGTTTCCCGGATTGCCTTCAGGGACGGCCGGTCAAGGAAGGAGATGATGCGAGCGAGGAGCTCACTTGGAAGAACAGTGATAGAAGTCATGTTGGATGAGCAAGTGATTAAATGGAAGTCAGGGCGCACCGGACTTTAAATGCTCGATGAGCCCTGGATCGACAATCCTCCGTCTGTCAGTCTTCATAGGGTCAAAGCACGAAATGCTTGTTGTTTATACTGGATCGAGCATAGTTTTGCCGCAGCGACACTTGGCACCTTGTAGGCTTCCGTCCGGATGGATTTCTGGCTAGACAGAATAGCCGCACGTGGGTCAGAAGTGGCCTAGAGATCTTGTTCCTATCGCGATTGTTAACTACCAACACCCCTGATCAGTCACGTGTCCTGTCGACCGTTCTCTGCAAACACGCCAGTTTCAGCTGCAATACAGCATGAATTCGGTTTCTGGCATGATAAATGTCTTGAAGAGTATTCTGGGGAAGAAATAGTAGCATCAGTAAGGTTCTGCAATATCTTTTCTTGGACTGTTATCAGGCCGCGGATATAAATCCAAATAATGGAGGATTCTTGGTAGGGGAAGATATATATTGAACCACGGAGAGTACCAGGCACTGGCCATGTGGGAAAGATTGGAGCACGTTAGAGATCAGACTTGACATATATCACCTTAGAGGCGTCCCATCAGCGGTTACTAGCCATACTGTAGCCAGGGGTATATTTACTCTGTAGTCCACCTCTGATTGATTACCCAGGGGCCAAGACTGCTAGATGCCCACTCCATAGTCGAGGCACTGATTCGCTGACGCCGAGAAAACAGGGGAATAATAAAAAGCCACCGAATCCATGTCTAGCCTCATCACCATCTTCGCTGATGGAGTATCTAGGTAGATATTTGTCTTACCCATGGGATCCATTATCCGAAGCCCAGCAGGAAATCCTTCAGGATCCATGCCTACCTAATTCTTTGAGCTACGACAATCATGTTCTTTTACTTTTGTCGCCAGTTCCCCCAATCGCCACTAGATTAGTCAGCACTTGGGTAGGCTTAGCATAAGTCCACTTTAGCTACAGGGCCCCTGACTATGACGATGAACACCACAAGAGGATAACACACACCAAGAAAGAAAGTCATCTCTTTTGATCTAACGAATCTGACATGATCCAGGCATAGACTAAGCTAGTAGAGGCCGAGGGACCATGGAAGGCAGAACGAGGGTAGGCGGTGAAGGAAACCGAACCAGCATTTAACTAAACCCCCACTAACTAATCAGGGGCGGAGAAAGTCGGTCGCAGTGCGGCCGTTCACGGACTAAGGGACTAGGTCCGTTGGTCCATGGACTGCTTAATAAACGTTTGCCTTGGTTGTGTTGGCGTCGCCATCAGCCTCTGGATGTCCATGTCGGTCTTCAATATCGTTGATCACCTCCGTTGTTCATCCACATGTTGCCATTTCCATGCTGATGTTCTTCTGCGTGATTGTACTCATATTGCGAAGAGGATTTAGCCTGTGTTTGGGTCGATGTTCGTGTCCACGTCTGAGTCCCTGGTTACACTTGAGGCCCTGAGATCCAATCCGAGCGGGACTTGTGTCCAATCGACATCTGTTTCAATCCCGATTTGTGGGCAAGGCTCCAGCGCGACTTCAGTCATTGAGTTGCTTTTCACTCTGTGCCTGCTATCCACAATTTCGGACGTACCACGTTCCCTTACGGAAGCTGAGCTGAAATCATTGCTGATGGAGCAGGGATAGACCGAGTTTGAACCGCGCACAGGGGTCTCGGAGGGTGGGAATGGGCTCTAATGGATCCGCTCCTGTAGGCTAATGCGGTTATAATGCAGTGGCTTGGGGATAGCGGGGTTGGAGGGTTAGCCATGTCGACCAAGCAAAATAAGAATATTTGCTGACCCAAATCTCATGAAATCCTCGCCGGTCATAAAAGCGAAGGGAGCTTCCCTCAACATGCTTTGCAGGGTAGCTTTTTAGTTAAGGATAGGAGAGGCTTTCCACAGCCGCATAAAGTGGGAGCGTGATTGTTCGCATGTGGAGGGGCGGAAAGGTGGTGGTGGTACATTGAACTGGGGCGATTGTGACCTATTATGCAGGAGATGGAATCACAGCGTTAAGTATTTTGATTGGTCACTCAGAGTCGCAGTCCTTATTTATCATCCTCTGTTAGGCTGCCCGGCGCTTCGCAATCGGAATATCTCCTGCTTACGCCAGGCCTCAGCTTAGTTTGATCTCGGCTCAGTGGGAATACCACTTAAGATATCAGTTTCTAAAGACGTCTTTGTTTATTCCACATCATTCTTAGTTATCCTCTTCTTATCATACAATCATATCCGGGAAAAATGCATGCTCAACCGACAAAGACTGGTGGTGAGCCAAACCCAGTCGACACCACAGGGCTTTGCCTGTTATCGCTGGACGGGGGTGGTGTACGGGGCTTGTCGACGCTCTTCATCTTGAAGACAATCATGGACAGATTAAATCATGAACGCTGTGATGCTAAGCTTCCTTCTGTGAAGCCGTGCGAAGTCTTCAATCTTATCGGTGGAACGAGCACAGGCGGGTTCGTGCAGCAGTTCTTTTGTCCGCCATGGCTAATACTAGCAGGCTTATCGCCATTATGCTGGGCCGTCTTGAAATGGACGTGGATGAATGCATTTCGGCATACATCGAACTCATAAAGGTTATATTTGAGGACAAACTGAAATTTCCGCCTGTTACCAGTACACTAAAAATTAGGTCCCGATTCGACTCAGGGAAGCTCAAGGACGCGATCATGGCTGTTACCGCTCGTCACGGTTTTAGTGGGACAGAACCCTTCAATAATGGGCGCGAGCGTGGAACCAAAGTGTAAGTGGACAATGCGTGAATGACGGCTGGTTTAGTAGCTGATATTAGGCGAAGGTTCGTATGTGCTACAGCCAAAGAAACATCTGGGGTGACTCGACTACGAAGTTATAGTTTAGCTGAGGAACCTGACATACCGGCGACCATCTGCGAGGCTGCCCTTGCAACGTCGGCCGCGACGGGCTTTTTTACTCCCGTGCTAATCGGACCACGCTGTTTTGTAGATGGTGCGTTGGGTGCGAAAAATCCAGTGGACGAAGTGGAGGGGGAGGCTTCAAATATCTGGTGTCCAGACACAGGAGATTTGAAACCCCTCATCAAGTGCTTCATCTCGATTGGAACAGGCAATCCCGGCAAACGAGCGATTAAAGACAATCTTTTTAAGTTTTTCTCTAAAACGCTCAAGGCAATTTCCACAGAGACAGAAGAAACCGAGCGGAAATTCATTGCCAGATGGGCTGGGCATTTCAACCAACAGCATTTCTTCCGCTTCAATATGGAGCAAGGACTGCAAAATGTTGGCCTCACTGAATATAAGGAGCAAGGCCTGATCAAGGCAGCAACACACGAGTACATAGCACACCAGAATCAAAGATTCCGGGTGCGAGACTGCGTACAAAATTTGAGGCAGAAGCAATGTGTGTGCATTGGAAGCTTCGCTTAGATATTAGCGATGATTGGCTTTGAGCTAATGGTTGATAAGATGCCACCGGGCTCCGGTTCGACAACGTTGTTCGTGTAAGGAAAAGAAACTATAGCCTGTGTACGCCTGAGCTCACCCAATTCAGGAATATGAATACTTGATATTGCTAAAAACATGTAAGAAGCTTTCCTATAACAAGGACCCCGCTGATAATTGGGCAGATAGCCATGGTGTTTTTAGAAATATTCCGTTCCCGAGGAACCAAGGCTTCGCTGGCCAGGATGAACAGCTTGATAAGCTTGAAGAGCTGCTTTTCCCACCCAGCCGCCAACACAAGGTTGCGATCACCGGCCTTGGCGGTGTTGGCAAAACACAGGTTGCACTCGAAATTGCTTATCGAATCCAGGAGACGCGACCAGAATGTTCAATTTTTTGGATCCCAGCCACGAACTTGGAAGCTCTCAAACGAACATATTTAAAGATTGCCGAACAGCTAGCATTGCCAGGACTTGATGAGGAGCGAGCTGACGCCAGAAAACTCCTGAAAGACTACCTATGCGACGGTAACGCTGGCCAATGGTTACTCATATTTGATAACGCGGATGACATGAACATGTGGTTCGGCCAGACAGAAGCCAACACTGAGCCATGCGGGCTGAGCGAATATATTCCATGGAGTAAAACAGGTAGTGTGCTTTTCACTACACATTTCAGGAAAATTGCAGCAAAGCTCGCAAAGCAAAACATGATCGAAATTCCAGCAATGGACGAGGCACAAGCGACAGAGCTTCTCTCCGAACGCTTGGGCGATAAGTCTCTTCTACACCAAAAAGAGGAAGTTGTGCTGCTTCTTAAGGAGCTTGTCTACTTACCTTTGGCGATTGTGCAGGCTGCTTCTTATATGAATGAGAACTGTGTGAGTTCCATTTCGGACTATCGATCGCTGTTGTCAGGACAGGAGGACGGGGTAATTGATCTTTTGAGCGAAGGTTTTGAGGACGATTGGCGAACTCATCAAAATACAAACCCAGTGGCCACAACATGGCTTATTTCCTTCGAGCAAATCCAACGCACTCAACCCTTTGCTGCTGATATACTGTGCTTCATGGCTTCTATAGAGCCAGCAGATATCCCGCAGTCTATTCTACCGCCAGCACCAACACGTAAAGCATGGACAGAAGCGATCGGGACGTTGAAAGGGTATGCCTTTGTGAGCGGACGGTCTGCTGCACAGTCTTTCGACCTCCACCGACTTGTTCACCTTGCGACGCGTAACTGGTTGAGAAAGAATGCAACTCTGTCGAAATGGACAATCACGGCACTGACTAGACTGGAAGCGATTTTTCCCAGTGATGAGCATACGAACAGAGACATATGGAAGGGATATCTACCGCATGTAATAAGCCTTCTGGAAAGGGAAGAAGTCAAAAACGCGGAAATCGAAATTGAAAGTACGAGGTATCACCTGATCTTCAAACTTTCAATGTGCCTTTCAGCGGATGGCCGGGTGACGGAGGCCGTCAATTACCTTGAAGAACATTATAATTGGCATAAGAGGCAATTTGATGATTCGCACCCCTCTTGATTGGCGGCTCAGCATGAGCTCGCCGGTGCATATCTAGCAAATGGGCAGATCGCGCAGGCAGTGGACCTACTTGAGCATGTGGTCATGGTAGAGGGGAAAACGCTTGCTGAAGAGGATCCTGATCGACTGGCATCTCAGCATGAGCTCGCGCGTGCATATGAAGCAAATGGGCAGATCATGCAGGCAGTGGACCTACTTGAGCATGTGGTTAAAATGAAAGAAAGAACCCTTGCTGAAGAGCACCCATCTCAACTAGCATCTCAGCATGCCCTCGCGCATGCATATAAAGCCAATGGGCAGATTATGCAGGCAGTGGACCTACTTAAGCATATAGTTATAGTGCGGGAGAGGACTCTTACTGAAGAGCACCCTGATCGACTGACCTCTCAGCATGAGCTTGCTAGTGCATATCAGGCCAATGGGCAGATTACACAGGCAGTGGAGCTACTTGAGCATGTGGTTATGGTAGAGGGGAGAGTCTTTGCCAAAGAGCACCCATCTCGACTAGCATCTCAGTGTGCACTTGCTGGTGCATATCAAGCAAATGGGCAGATCACGCAGGCAGTGGAGTTCCTTGAGCATGTTGTCGCACTGGGGGTTAGAACCCTTGCTGAAGAACACCCATCCCAACTGGCATTTCAGCATGCACTCGCGCGTGCATATCAAGCAAATGGGCAGACCACGCAGGCAGTGGAGCTACTTGAGCATGTGGTTATGGTAGAGGGGAGAACCCTTGCTGAAGAGCACCCCTCTCGACTAGTATCTCAGCATGAGCTTGCTAGTGCATATCAAGCCAATGGGCAGACCACACAGGCAGTGGAGCTACTTGAGCATGTGGTTATGGTAGAGGGGAGCCTTGCTAAAGAGCACCCATCTCGACTAGCATCTCAGCATGCACTTGCTAGTGCATATCAAGCCAATGGGCAGATTCAACAGGCAGTAGAGCTATTTGAGTATGTGGTTATGGTGCAGGAGAGGACACTTGCCAAAGAGCACCCCTCTCAACTAGCATCTCAGCATGCACTTGCTAGTGCATATCAAGCAAATGGGCAGATCAAACAGGCTGTGAAGCTACTTGAGCATGTGGTCATGGTAGAGGGGAGAACCCTTGCTGATGATCATCCCTCTCGACTGGCGTCCCAGCGCGCACTCGCACAGCTGCTCCTGCAGATGTCTCCGTGATCGACTACATCTAACTTTTTTTCCGGACTTTCAACCACTTTTAGCCTTTATACATTGGCGGTCTTGCGATTTTTTGGAGGTTCGTGCGGTATATTTTTGGCCGAGGATAGAACGTAAGCGCGAGCTCGCTAAACAGCTACCATCCGCTAGTTCGCTCAACAATTCATTATAAAAATTATATCCTAGTCATTATTAGTCATTTAGCTACTCCCCGGCCGTTGATTAGGTGTTGCCAGGCCCTACATGTCATCCCGTTAATCGGTATACTCTCTGTTGTTTATGATCAAGTAATGAGAAGGTTCCTATGCCGCATCTAGGCGGTACTTGATAATATTTTCTGTGCAATTGCAGACGGTGCCTGTCGTCTTTTTCAAGCTGCGTCGGCCAGTTAAGACGGCTGTCGCAGGACTGCCGTCAGTTTCGGACTGCTGTCATGACTCTGGGAATTTGAAGAGAAGCGTGGCGAGGATAGTGGAAGACTTTCGCGGCCACGCAAAGATATTTCTCATCATCTGGAATTTCATCCTCCACTGTGTGCCAGCACTTTTTGACCCTACCCATGTTAATTGACTTAAAAATGTATTCCAGCAGGACGCGTGTGCTCATTCAGGGCCATGTAACTTCATTTTGGCGTTTATTGAGGATGAATGCTAGAACAAGCATGTACAGTCAGGTACTACTGTTGAAGTTTTAATAAGTGAATCAGAAATGCCCCTGCTTCCTCCTGACAGCTACAGTCTTAGATGCTTATATGGAAGGCATTGAGTCGAGGCTGCAAAGGAAGAACTGTTTCCAGGTGATAGCTGGTCGTCAGTGACCTTATATCATGATAGTAAGCCAAATTTAGGGATCCGGGCTCATAACCTGTGTAAGAGATAAAGAATGAAGCTCTTGTAATTGTGTCTCTTCTAGATAAAGAAAAGGAGAGAGATGCTCGAAGCTATCTAACCGAGGCAGATAGCCCTCAGATTATCGTAGGGCCGTCTGCCCGCAGGCAGAACCTCTGAGAAGCAGCCCCCCCGGCCTTCYCCCCCCCCCCCCTCCCCCAACACCCCAAAGCAAAAAAGACGGGCCTCGCTAGCCCAAAGTATCTAGCATACATGATGCCCTGCTTATTTCCTAATACGGTAATATATCGTTCGCTGCCGCGTTGCCGCTCGGAATCTCTTCTTTGCGTAGGCCGCTCAGTTGCCCCATCCAATCAAATCATCTCTTCAACGTCGTCTCCAATGGCATCAACTTTCGTTAGATGTAGCATCTCCTGGAATCTTGCGAAATCGGGCACGCGCAACGGCTTGGTTAGGCCGCCGGCGACGTTCTCTTTTCCTCCAATCAGTATCGAATCGACAAGACCTTGCTGAACCTCATCTTTAGCAAAGAGATATCGGTTCGCTAGCCATTGAATTGATGGTCGGAATCCCTTCTTGTGTATAATATCAAAACCGTTATCACTGTCAGTGTAGATCGGGGTCGGCAGATCAGACGCATCCAAACGTAGCGCTCTCAACAGTTTCTCAACCAAAGAGCCTCCTTGATCACTGCATCGTAGGCACAGTATTCTGCCACTGTGCTTGATGGAGCAAGCACTGATTGCTTTTTCGTATACCAACTAACCGGCGCTCTGGCGAAGGAGACGTAGGCCACAGGAGATTTACCATCTAGATGATCTTGGAATGACGAATCAACCTAGCCTTTGATACCTTCGGTAGAGAAATTCGATGATGGAATCACCTCAATTGGATTCGAGCGACTAGTAGAAGACCCCTGCGTTTACTAGCGCGCAGATGATGAATATCTTCTTATCTACGTTGATGATATGCTTCTGACATCTGCTACATTGGATGGCAGCAAACCGATCAGATTGCAATTAGGAAACTTCTTATCAAAGAGTTAGGCGAACCTTCCCGATTTCTTGGCTGTAAGATCACAAGAGATAGGGAACGTCGGGAGTAATTATCTCTGATTACCAAGAGGAATGCGTTCCAGGAGATTTAGAGCACCAGCTTTGCATTCACCGGGATGGTGATTTTAGTTCAGAAGATATTTATTGCAACTTGGGACACTGCGAGCTCACCGCCAACGCCGAATTAGCCTTTTGGCTGTCAAAGTTATCGAAGCGCAGCCGCCGGGACCTGGTCAGCATGAAATAAAGGACACCCTATAATATTGCTTGGCCTTGACAAACTGCTCCCATTTCCGGGCTATTGGGCAGATTTTAGCTTTGGATTCCTTCGACGGTTGACGAAATCAGCTGCCCTGTCGTAAGTGTTGAACGGGCCCGATTCCATAGATTCTCCTACTCATTGGACCTCAGGAAATTATAGATATCTGAATGAGTTTACAGTATCTGGTCAACACTATTTGAAGGCTTAGTAAGCTTGTCGACTTGATGTCAGTCCGCCGGATCGAGAATCTCATGCCTCAACTGTCCAGTACGGACTGTACTGAGATCCTTGACACAATAGAATATGGCACGCTGTTTCCTCACGTGGTAGGTCGCGAAGCCCGGGAGAGGAGATTGTTGACTACCAACATCCCTGGTCAGTCACGTGTCCAGTCAACCACTCACTGTAAACACGCCAATTTCAGCTGCAATACAGCATGATTTCGGTTTCTGGCACGATACATGTCTTGAAGAGTATTCTGGGGAGGAACAGTAGCATCAGCTTTGCAAGTATCTCTTCTTGGACTGTTATTAGGTAGCGGATAATAAATCCAAACAATGGTGGATTGTCGGTAGGGAAAATATATATTGAACCACAGAGGGTACCGTGCACGAGGCAACGTTAGAAAAATTGGACGCAAGAGACCAGACTCAACATATATCACCTTAGAGGTGTCCCATCAGCGGTTAGTAGCCATACTGTAGCCAGAAATATATATCCTCATGAATGTACCATAACTACTCTGTAGTCTACCGCTAATTGATGCCTCTGGGGCCAAGACGGCCAGATGCCCCAGTGCACAGATTTGCTGACACGGAGAAAGCAGGGGAATAACAAAGAACCACCGAATCCATGTCTAGCCTCATCACCATGATCCATTTTCGCTGATGGAGCATTAAGGTAGATATTTGTCTTACCCATGGGATCCATTATTCGAAGCCCAGCAGGAAATCTTTCGGGATCCATGCCTACCTAATTCTTTGAGCACCGACAATCATGTTCTCCACTTTTGTCGCCAGTTCCCCCAATCGCCACGGCGACAATAACAACAAAACAAGTCACACCAACGGGTCCTCTTCTTCCTCCACCTCAGTTCCTCCACGTTCTAAACGCAACCAGGTCGCTCGGGCTTGCGACTGGTGCCGTGTGCATCGCATCAAATGTGACAGCAGCTTGCCCTGTCAGAATTGTCGCAAGCGAGGCGGTAGTTGCACCAAAAAGAGTGCGGCTGAAATCCGCACTCTGCCACAGGCTGTAAGGTTGTACCGACTCTCCGAACGCGTTGGCTTCTTGGAACCAACTGACAACCCAAAATAGAGAGATTGAGCGACTACGACAACGCGTTCAGGAACTTGAAGAACAACTAGAAAATGCTACCAATACTAATACCGCCTCCAACATTGACGACCGGACGATTCGAAAAGAAAACCGACCGTCGGGGACAAGGAAAGGATGGGACGGAATCCATACACGCACCGCACACTCCTCGCAAACCCAGTGGTATGGGCCGTCGTCGGCCTTCTACTTTATCGGTCGCATGAGCGCATACCTCTGCGCCGTTTTCAATCAACCTGAGGACGATCATAACCTGCAGCCCAACTCCGCCAGTCGCATCTTTACCAGTCCGACCTCGACTAGATCCACTCCGGAAGAGCTACCGACGCCTTCTGCGATCGCCCACGGCCCCATCAGTTCGGAGACATTTCTCAATAGCATCGAGGAGGACTTTTTCCTGAATTTGTTTTGGCATTCATACCATCCGACCTACCAGATCCTGGATGAGGCGGAGTTTCGGGAGCACTATAAATCCCTTTGGGTCGATTCGGCCACAACACGAAAACCTTCAGCTCTAGTCGATATAGTCCTCGCTCTGTGTATGCAGTATGGCGTCGCCTTGACTCCGGACAGCAGCGTTCACCCCACCGTCACCTCCGGCCGACACGACGGTCATGTAGACTTCAACGACGCAAGTATCGCGGGTCGATGGTACTACCGTCGGTCGCAGACTCTCCTCGTTTCGGAACTGGAGAGTCCGTCCATCACCACCCTGCAATGTCACATATGTTCGGTCGTCTACCTGTGCAACGCTTCCTTTCAGAACATGGCGCACACTACCCTGGCGCTCGCGGTACGCACCGCGCATATTCTCGGACTACATCTCGAGCCGCGTGAGAACCTGCCACGTCCCCAGCGAGAGTTGCGCAAGCGCATCTGGTGGACGCTGTATACGATTGAAAGCAAGACATGCATGAAACTCGGTCGACCGTGCTCCATGCCTGACATGACTGCGACGTGCCAACTGCCCGCCGACGATCATGAGCTGGCTCGACTGTCGGTGTCGAACATCGCAGCGTATGGCAACGAGGTGACGTGGTTGACCTACAGCCGCCTCCTCACAACATTAGTGCTAGCGACTCAGACAGTTCATCTTGGATTTTACGATAGACGTGCTGAGATTCTTGCTGCCAATGAGGCGAAGAGTCTGTACACAGATTCATCGTCTCTGGAAGCCTTGGCTGAATTCCTGACATCGCAGACAGACAATATTCGGGAATGGTTACGGAGTGTTCCTGACGCCATGAAGAGCAAACGCAAGGATGGTGGTGAGCCGTTCTCAACCGACCGATCGGAACTCGACCTGGAACGGTATGCGCCCTCGTGGCTGCAGCGCCAACGGCTACTCCTCGAGCTTCTCTACCACAACCTGTCTATGAACATCCACCGGCCCTTCATCTGCTTCCCTTCTACGTCACCGACCAACTTCAACAGCACACCCCTCACTGAAGGACATGCAATCTCCTGTGTCAACCATGCCATCACCATCACACACATCCTGCGCCAGATTCTAACCGCCGCCGACTTCCTCAAAGGTTGGTACGAGGCCTTTCAATGGCAGTGGAACTCGACTCTCTCCATGGTTGGTTTCATTCTTGCCTACCCCTCCCATCCGTCCACTCCAACAGCCCGCGCGGCCATCGACGATGCCATCACCGTCTTCGAGGTATTTGGCAACAACTTTGCGGTCGCGGGGAGCGCTGCCAATGTGACTCGGGGACTCGCTGCCAAGGCGGACTTTCTCAGCGGCCGATTTGGCGAGGGTGTCGGGACTGCAACCACACTGACTCCCCCGTACTCGGGCCAAATGGAAGGTTTCTTAGGGCCTATGGGAAACGATGTGACTGGCAGTTTGATGCTGGCAGATGAGCCCTCGGTTATGTTTCAGAGCACGCTGGCGGAAGCCATGGGACTGACGTACAACGTTGATTCGTTCTACAGCTTCGAGCCCTTGTATGCAGGTTCAAGCAATCTGGCAGATGCGTGGAATCTCAGCTACGATTGATCCATGTTGATCTCCAATTTATAATGAAGCGACGCTCCTGTTGATGCAGCTATAGAATCGCAGATTTATTCATGCATTTATTCAATAGATCAACTAAATACTTTCAGTCTATCTTTTCGTTCCCCCTAGCCCAGTCTCTCCCCCCCGAATTACTCCATGGTGATGACAGCACGGAACCGGACTGTTCCCTTCAACATTGCCTCTGTAGACGATTCGGGATTAATACCAGTATTGGGATGGTTAGGACAGGAAAGCTCACCATATGCCTCGTTCGCCTTTTCTAAAGGAAACTCCTCGACCATACAGTTGATATTGTGCAGCTCAGTGAATGCAATCGCGTCTTCTGAGTCGGTGGCATGGCCAGAGGGCCAGACCTGCACCGAGAGGCCGTATTTAAGCTGGGCTCGGGTGAGTACTTGCCCTGGGAATCGTTGAGGATCACTTACCATGGTGGCCGTATCAATGGGGAGCTCACCCGGCACTATACACACCCATCAGCACCCTGCACCAACAGAAGGCAAGGCCGATAAACTGACCAGACAAAATCAACAACTTCCCCAAGATCCCCAGCCCCTTCAACAACGGACTGATCACCTCAGCCGTCGGCGCTGTCGAAACGACCAGCGACACCCCGCCCAGCTTCTGCAGCGCGACCTCCGCATCCTCCTTACTCGAATCGATATACTCGTGCGCGCCCAACTCCCTCACAAACTTCTCCTTTGTTGCGTCTCGCGAGATCGCAACCACCCGGTACCCCATTTTATTGGCGTACTGGATGGCGAGGTGGCCCAGGCCGCCGACACCTTGGATGGCAACGGTCTCGCCGACAGGGACGTTCATGTGCCGGATAGAGTTGAAGACGGAGACGCCGGCGCAGAGGATGGGGGCATACTTTGCTGCTGGGACGTGGGAGGGAATGCGGACGGCTGCTTCAGGATTGAGGAGGCAGTATTCTGCGACTGAAATCACCAATCAATGTCGTTACCTAGGGAGAGGAGAAGAGAAGAGGAAGAGGAGGACGTACAGCCGCCATTCTTGGTCTCGCCGTTGACGACCTGCGAGCTGCACATTTGGTACCAGCCTTTGCGGCAAGCTTTGCACGTTCCTTCTCACAGTGAGTTACTCAAGTCAGAAAGCAGGACAAGGAGTAGGACGTACCATCATGTCCTCCGTGCCAGCCGCCTCCAATACGATCCCCGACTTTCCAACCCGGGACGTTGTCTCCAACGGCGGCTACACGGCCGATAATCTCGTGACCAGGGACGATGGGACTGTCAACATATCCATCATTAGCAGTATTCACAAGGAGGAAGAAGACTGACATACAAACCCCCACCCATAACGTTATTCTGCGCAAACACATCCGAGAAGCACACACCGCATGCTTCCACCTTCACGAGAATCTGATGGGGACCGGGCGGGGTCAGAGGTGTTTCCTCAATGACCATCGGGGCGCCGGCGGATTTGAAGACGGCTTGTTTGTAGGTTTGTGCGATGGTCATTTTGTTGTTGCTTATAGGATATCTCTCTGGAGGTAGAAATGGATGAGATGTCAGACAGAAGGTAGAAATGACAGACGCTCTTTGTTTATATAGGTACGTCTCAGCGCTATCAGTAAGTGGGGTAGGTGCTTCTGCTCCGGAGTTATCATGCCATAACCTGTTATACTTGAGGTAGCTGTTAATGCGGTTATCTCCAACGGTCAACTAAGTATGTTTTGCTTTGCGATTGACTGGAGTCTCAAAGGAGTTGCCGGAGTTGGTGACAGAAGAAGAAAGTTAGGGCTGCTTCTTGGCACCCTAGCGGAGCTACGTGCTTGATTTGAATGGACAAGATTAGTAGCCATGAAGAGAATGTGATGCCGAGTTGGTTAGTACAAATCTGCTGTCGATGGGTCCAGTACTGATTGACGTGTAGCTGTAAGATCGCATGTATCATGCGAGAAGATGGATTACCAAGTTGACATTCTATGCTCCGCTATAATCTATCCCTCAGTACTTCCTGCATGTTCGCGACATCTAAACAAGAAACCTCTTCCGGGTCAAAAACAGTGAGGATAATGTCCACAAGGACCCTGCAGCAATCACCATCACCCAAACATCCCCAATCGTCTTCACAATCGCGTACACACACTTCGCCCTCAACTCCGGCGGTACGTTGCATAACAACTCGCTCCTCGCCCCTGCTATAGCCCCCTGAATCTGAGCGTCCGAGTACTCCGTCCCAGCAAGCACTCCCTTGAGCCTCTGAAATCCTAGACTCTGGAAAATACAACTAGCGATCGCCAACCCAATCAGCTGACTCGAGCCCTGCGAGATATTCAAGTACTGAATGAGCTCCGCGACACGGTCAGGCTTGACGAGGAATGGGCCAACGGCATACCCCGCCTGGGTGGTGGTCATCCCCAGGCCCAGCAAAATGGAATAGCCGTAGATGTTTGCCACGGGGGTATCGTACCGCACTGTGTACATCGCGGCACCGCCGCAGGTCATGCAGATCCCACTGAAGAGGTACCAGAGGTTATGGTGGCCTGTCTTGCCCATTACCGCACCGCAGGTTAAAATGGTGGCGACGTAGACGCAAATAAATGGGAGGAGTCGGACGGCGGCCTGCGTGCCGCTGTCGCCGTGCACGAAGAGAAAGTAGAGCGGGATGTAGTAGACGGAGACAAACAGCGCGGCACCACCACAGGCCATGCAGACATAGAGCAGGATGAGCTGGGGGTTGCGGAGGAATTCGCAGGGGAAGATCCGGTTGATTGGGTCGGTGAGGATCGAGTACCGCTGTGTCACACAGAAGACGAGGGTGATAACACTGAACACGACAAGGAGGGCGATGACGCGCCCGTCGTTCCAGGACCAGATGGAGCCGCCGAATGTGAAGGCCAGCGTGAACGAGACGTAGAGACCGGCGGTAAGAATAATGCCTAGCCAGTCGAGGGCGCGCAGCTTGTCGAAGAAGGGGATGCCAGGGCGGCGGGGGAGCGATGGGAGAATGAACAGATAGATGGGGGACATGGCGCCGAAGATGACGAGATTGAGATAGAAGGCCTTCTCCTTGTTAACTGGGCGTATCTTCAAAGGACTACTGCTGATGAGGACATACCCATCTCCACGACGCTGAACTATCCGCCAACGACCCTCCCACAATCGGACCTAGAATACACCCACTGCCGTATACAAATCCGGTCATCCCGATATAAAACGGCTGGTCCTGGGGACTACTGATAGTAGTCACCAAATTGAGGGTTCTAATTGCTATCGTCAACATCGCTCAATATTTCAATTGAGAGGGATCCCTTACCCCAAGTACATCCCCGCTCCCCCAGCACCAGCCCAAACCCGTCCCACAATAATCGCATTCATCGATGGTGCCGCACCGCATAACGCACTCGCTGCAGCAAACAGAGTCAGGCAGCTCAGAAACACCCATTTAGCGTCAAAGGTTCCAAACGCCTTGCCAAGAGGCAAGATAGCCACTGTTGAACCCAGGGTAAATCCCACACCTAACCAACCCAGCTGGCTTACGTTGTCGAACGTCTCTGATACTGCGGCCTGGATGTCGGCTGCAATGGTGGTGTCTAGTCCATAGAGGATATTGGCCGAAAAGATGGCCACGCAGACAAGAAACCAACGGAAGCCAGTGACTGAGCGCTTAGGAGAGGTGTCTTCTGTGGCAGATGGTCCATTTTCATTCTGAACGGAGGCAGCCGACGGGAAAGTGTTGTTCTCAAGATCTGTGTCTTGGGAAGCTATGATCTTTTCGAGCTGGCCATTGAGGCTTCCTGAGCTCGGAGTAACCAAGGGTTCAGACATAATGTAGTCTTTTTTCAGTTGTTCCGGGCGATTGAGTCAACGCAATTGATATAAATGCGCGCCTAGAAGAGGATATATCACAGGAGATAGGAACCTTGGAGACCAGGAGCGTCTTCCAACGCACAAACAAGATACTTCATTTATAACCAGCATTCTTACTCATAACGAGTATTTAGTGTATGATATGCAGTGGATATAGATTACATGTTTGTTTGCCATTTGACTGCCTTTGCCCTGTGGGCCGGAGTTGCCGGAGTTCCTCCCAAATAAGTAATTCGGCTTCCAGGATGCAGAAACAACATGAAAACAACTCCGGAGTCTCCATATAGAATAGAATGCTGTCTCTATATTCTGACCAATGGTCTGCTTGTGAAATAGCCACCCTCCTACACTGTTTCAAATATGTCATTTGGATTCAGGATCGATAATCAAGTCTGCTCCATACAGAACTGCTCCACTCCAGATGCCCCGAGTTCTATGCGTTAGTTATTTGTAAAACGGGAATCATCACGACTGTGCTTCTTGCAAACTGCGAGTATGTTAAGAGATATGGGGATGCATGACTGCAATCAGACCACCAACAAGAAACTATCAAATAATGTTTGGCTTGCGAGCTCCTTCTGCCTTTAAACACTAATTAGGAGATAATATCTCCTAGTAAATTGCTGAGCAGGAAGTCTATACTTAAGTTTGTCACATTGGACAAATTCTAAGAGAGAATCAGGAGTGTCAATCAATTTATTTCTAAAGCAAGGCATTTTCCCCCACCTACACCACCCACTCAAAGACAAGAAATCTCTTCAATGGGACTCCTTCCGATATCTCTCCTATTAAACAGTTTCCCTTATCTGCCTGCTACTGGGATGTTTCCGTAATTCTGTAGTGGCCGGGCGGCGAGTGTACGTAAATGGTCTGGCCTAGAATCAAGGTTATATAGTCCATAGGCTGCAGAGCGATTGAGCATCGACGATAATAGCGCACTTTCAGAGCAGATTGTCAGACGGACGAGCACTCACTGACTGAATATCCTTAGGGTAGTTTCTAGATATTCATTATAGGACGTTAGCAGGCACTGCACATTGTTTTAAAGCGTAACACAAGGCTATTGGGCAGCCAGGACCAAAGCAAATGATAGTCGAGAGAACATAGAGCAAGCAGTAAATCATTCCGAACCAAGGTACCACTTGGTAGCAGCCCCAATCAGTCGATCATAAATGGCGGTTGGCGCCTGTGACAGATCAATCTTATAAAATACAGTTCTGTCAAAAGATTTTGCCACTTGCCAAAGAAAAAGGCTAAAGCAAATAATATCAGTCCAATCCAACAAAATTCAATTCTGGAGTAAGTAACTGATAAATCCACAGGAGATAATGAAAAAGAAATATTTGTCCTTCGACATTAGTATACCATATATCTGTGTTAATGACTGTCCGATATGAGACTCTCAGTGGGTGGTGGTTATGAATAGCAGCTCACCCCACCCATCAGAAAGCCGTATGACTTTCTTGCCCGATCGCAGATCTTGGAACAGCCCGTCAAAAACTTTAATAACGGTTCTCGGGTGGCCTGGAGCTCTCCTCCGCCGGGCGAACCACGGCTCCATACAAGTCATAGCACACCGACGATGAATCAGACCCAAGCATCAACCAAGGGCAGGCGCTGACCGGTCTCGTCCCGTGAGACCGTGATGGTGATAAAAGACACTGGCCCGCCGAAGATAATATTCGGCATGCTGTTTTAAATTGATTTCCGCTCCAGTCACTCTTCGGGGAGCGGTGATGGCGGGACATCACACGCCCATGAATTCGCGAGGGATCCGCATCTGTATACAGGATGGCAAAATCGCCCGGAGGCGCTCCAACCTCGTTGGGTTTTAATGAAATTCGCATGGCCAGCGAGAAGCCAACACCGTGGCTGCGGACCGCGAATCAAGTGCTTGTTGCAGTCGGGCTGGCACTCTGTACCAGCTTCCTTATTATGCGGATTTATACCAGGACCCGTATCATGAAGAAGTTTGGGTGTGATGACAGTATGTTTTGGCGTCACCTATGTCAACATTCTATTGGGATTGAGGTGAACCAAAGTTAACGCGCAACTGCTAGTACTCCTGATAATGGCCTGGGTGCGTCACTTGATTGATGGTAAAGACTAATGGATATGAGAAACTTACATGTTTATCTGGGCTAAATAGATATTTTCGTTGGGGACACAGGCGATCATTCTAAGTGCGTAACCCAGCTGAAATAAGCCCTTTTGATGGACACTGCAGCTAAGAAGGCCTTTTTTAGATGCTTATGCCCATGCTGGTCTGGGTGTTCATATAGATGAGTTATCGGTGTCAACATTGCAAACATATGGAAAGGTATGACGTTGACTTATTATGTCGAAAATTTGTACTACTGCTTATGTGTTGACTACAGTGCGTCCTTGCTACTTCTACTATTTATATTTTCGCTCTTGCGTTTGCCAAACTGGCTTTGCTGGTGCTTTACTATCATCTATTGCATATATTGCCGGTTTGGAGATACACTATCTACACAGTGTTTTTCATCATCGTTGGTTACAGCATTGCGCTCGCTCTAGCCTTGATATTCGCTTGTTCTCCTATACAGAAGGCATGGGATATTACCATTACTACGGGTTCTTGTATCAATCGTCAGGGCGCCTATCTAGCAACTGCGTGCACG